GGGGAGGGAGATGAGGGAGGGAAAGGGAGGGACATGCAGAGGGTGAGGAAGGAGGGAAAGGGAGGGACATGGGCGTCGCGGCGCGCGGGCGCAGCCTTCGGGGTTCCCAGGGAAGCCCCCTGCAGAGCCTACGCTACACAATTCGGCACACCTTCATACGGTTCGTGGCCCCATAGGGAGCGCCACCGAAGAAGATATTCACAATTGCGGTACTCACAACTGCATATGGTTGGGTCCTTCGCCAGGATAATTGTTGCTCCACCCCTCATGCTTACTGTTTTGGACTTGGGTAGTGTTGTGCCACCTGCCGTCTGCTTCTGCATCGTATAGGCCACCGTCCTGATTAAGGCGCCACGAGGGATGCACCTCGAGTGCGAAAAAGTGCAACCTCTGATCAAAACCACATCAAGGACCGCACACCGGGATGGCAAGTCGAATTTGATGACGAGAGTTGTGTATTCGGGTTGGCTCACGGTTGCCACTCCAACGACAGGCTTAGCCCCTGCATCTCCTACGCGTTACGTTCTACATCCTCTGCGTCTTACTCCAGCTTCTGATACATCCCTCTCGTGCGATCAACGTCCTGCTCCTGAGCACACCTCCGTTCATGCTTTTGATCGTGCTCCTGCTGCTGCTGCCGTTCCCGCTTCGTTATTTAGCTGTTATTTCAGGCCGTATTCCCCTCCATTCAGTATCGTGTAACCGATCCCCATCCCCATCCCCATCCCCATCCCCATCTCCATCGCGATCCCCACCATCCTACTAAACCACTTGCAGATTTGCCCCTCGAACCACGAAGGGGACAGCCTCTATCCGCACCTGGAAGGGTACTTTGGCCTGGAATCGGCTACCCGATGCTGGATCATCATCAGCTCAATTTCTATTCTTCTGAAGCCTTGGAGGTGCTGATCTACACCTCGGCGCCACTTGCGGCCAGCCCCCCATCGCTCCCGCGCGCCGCGCGTCAAGCCTTTGGAAAAGGGGGAGCAGGACGTGGAGGAGGGAGGGGGAGGGGGAGGGTTCAGGAGGAAGGTGGACTAGGAGGGAAGGGGGAAGAGGGGGAGGCGGAAAACGTGGATGAGGGAGGGGGGGGGATGCAGAGGAGGAAGGGGGAGAAGGAGGAGCAAGAGGAAAGGAGGCGGAGGAGGAGGAGGAGTGAGGGGGGTATGAGGAGGAGGCGGAGGAAGAGGTAGGAGGTAGGAGGAGGAGGGGCGGAGTAGGAGGGGAGGAGTGCAGGAGGAGAGTAGGAGGAGGAGGAGGAACTCAGGGGCGGGGGGGGAGCAGCCGCCGATCCCAGAACTCCGCGCGGGCCTCCGACAGTCCGTTGCTCACGGTGTTGCTGCTCCTTTTGCAGCTGGCACGAGGGGTCAGTGTACGTCTGAGGCAATCTCGCCTTCCTCCCTCCCCTCCCCCTCCTCCTCCTCCTTCCTCCCTCCCCTCCCCCTTCTTTTTTTGCAGCACCCACTGTACACTTGCAGTTCGTGTTCTCCGTTCGGTTGCCCACGTCGCCACCTGCGTCTGCCAGCGCGTCCCACCGGATGCACGGCCGAGCGAGCGAGCGACGAGGGGTCAGAGCAATCCGATGTTTTGCCGTCTTCCCTTGGGCTCTTTCTCTTGGGGCTTCCCATTTCGGAGTGCGTTTTGGGTCGGACGCCTCCGTGGAGTCTCGGCCCCGTGGCGAAGGGGCACATTCTCCTGACCCGTGTTCTCATGGCCGTGTTTCGACTGCATCCCAGGGGTGCGAAGATAATTGCATTTCGCTCGTCGCGACCTCGGCGTTGACGTGGCCTCTCTTGCGCGTCGCGCATCGCGGCACGCGATGCGAGAAGTCAGGTTGCGTTGGAATCGTCTCCAGATGTCCGACGTCGCGAGCTTCTCGCGGCGTGTGCCCGCAGAGGTCGGGACCCCTTCCCCAGGACCTGGGAGGAGGGGGGGGCGAGGAGAGAGGGGGGGAGCGAGGGAGGGGACGAGGAGGAGGGGAGGGGAACGAAGGAGGGGAGGAGGAGGAGGAGGAGGAGGAGGGGAGGGAGGAGGGAGGGAAGGGGAGAGGGAGGAGGGGAGGACGGAGGAGGAGGAGGAGGAGGAGGGAGGGAGGAGGAGGAGGAGGAGGCGGAGGAGGAGGAGGAGGAGGAGGGAGGAGGAGGAGGAAGGCGGGGAGGAGGAGGGGAGGAGAGGAGGAAGAGGGAGGAGGAGAGGAGGAGGTAGGAGTAGGAGGAGGAGGAGGAGGCAGGAGAGGGGAGGAGGAGGAGGAGGAGGAGGAGGAGGGAGGAGGAGGAGGTATAGGAGGAGGAGTAGGAGGAGGAGGAGGAGGAGGAGTAGGAGGAGGAGGAGGAGGAGGGAGGAGGATGAGGAGGAGGAAGGAGGAGGATAGAGGAGGGGAGGAGGAGACGGAGTTGAGAGAAGGAAGGGGATGAGGAGGAGTATGAGGGGAGGAGGAGGAGGACTGGGGAGGAGGAGGAGGAGGAGAGGTGTTTTTTTTTCGTCCCGAGATGCTCTTTCTCGGACCCGGGACCCGTCGAGGCCATTTTTCGCCACGCGGCGGGGTGGAGATTCCCGTCCCTCCTCCTCCTCTTTCCACCTCTTCTTCTCCTCCTCCTCCTCTCCGTCCCTCCTCCTCCTCCTCCTCCTCCTCCTCCTCTCCGCCACCTGGACCCACCGCGCAGGTGTTCTTCATCGGCCGCTCGCTGTGGGGCCTAAACGGTGGCGGCATGCAGCCCGGCCTGCAAGCGCCGGGCGCTCGGATGCGCCCCTGGTCCGTTGGTCGCCCTTGGTCGCCCCTCGCTCGGATCCCCCTCAGGGGCAACGCGAGGGTGGTGGTAGTCTCGGCAGATGATGATTGCGATGATCGAGGACGCGCAGGCATGGGTTTGGGCACGTGGATTAGTGACGGGTCCCGTCTTCGTGCAGAATCGGCGCGCCCCATCGCAAGATCAGGCGGCACTGGCCTCACGGGGGGTACCTTTCCCGACACGTGAATCCCACGCGCCAGATCCACAGATCCCTAATCCATGTTAGCGTACGGCCGAGACGAGTGTGACGATGACGAGGGCGATGATGACGACCATGGAGATGGTGGTGGTTGTGGTGGGATGGTGTTGGTGATGGCGAGGTTGATGGGACGCCGATGAGCTTGATGCGGTGGCGATGATGTCGATGGTGCCAGGGCTGGACCTAAACGGTGTTTAGGCCATCTCGTGGGCCGCTCTGTTTTTCGTGTTGCCTTGCATGCAGGGCGCAGCGGAGGCAAAACGAGGAACAGCAACACGAAAACGAACACCGTTTGGGTTCAGCCCCGGATGGTGCTGACGATCGGAGGGCAGGGGCGCTGGCCAGCTTCCCCCCCCCAGCGCGCAGCAGCCCCAGCCACAGGTGGGGGGAGCCGCGCTCCCCGCCCCCCCCCCCACACCCGGGGGGGGGGCCCGCCGGCTCCGACGCGCCCCTCTCGAGGAGGCTGTGCGCGACGACCTGCCCCCCCTCCTTGCCCCCCGATGCTGCCTCCTCGCACCCCCTCCTCGCCCCCCCTCGTCGCCCCCTCCTCGCCCCCCTCTCGCACCTCCCTCCTCGCACCCCCTCGTCCCCTCCTCGCACCCCCTCCTCGCACCCCCTCCTCCCCCCCCTCGCCCCCCGATGCTGCCTCCTCGCCCCCCTCCAGGGTCCGCTTCGCTCCGATCGCTCCGATTCGACATCGATCCCCGAGCCCTCGGCCCGATCCGATCCGATACTCGGATGATCCGCCACTCGAACCGACGATCCGATTCGATCCGATTCGATATCGCTCGGCCCCCCGGTCCGACTGGACCCTCGGTGCGGTCCGATCCGATTTGATCTCGGGTCGTCTCCGCTGCTCGGACGATCCGACACGCCGCGATGCCCGTGCTTGCATGGCGCCGCGGTGCACCCCGGCGCGGCCGGGCCGGCTCGCCTCCGATCTCGGCTTCGGTGCCGTGCCGATGCGGCCCTGCCCGGGCGGTCCGATACGGCGCGATGCTTGCATGGCGACGTGGTGCATCCTGGCGCGGCCGGCCCAGCTCGCCCTCGACTTCGGCCTCGATGCTGGCTTCGATGCAGTCCGACCCGATGTGCGGGCATGACTTTTCTATTCGTGTCCACCGCGTCTTGGAGTTTCTGGGAAGGGGCGCCAAAAGGCCGAGGCGCAGTGGATGTGGATCAAACGTCTAGCCTCTAGGGGCCAGACTTTTTTTACCCCTATTGTAATCCACTGCGCCTCTGGTTTCTGGGGAAGGGAGCCCGGAACTCCAAGACCCGTGGCTTCCTGGGGCTCCATTCGGCGCTTCCCGGGGACTCCAGGAAGCTTCCTGCGGGCGTCCGCAGGCGTCCGCAGGCTTCCTGGGGCTTCCTGGGGCCTCCTGGAGGCCGCCGGGGCTCCCTGTGGTTTTCTGGTGCCCCCTGCGGATCCTCGGGGCTTCCTATGTGATCTCCCGGGGTCTCCTGCAGGCTTCTGCCGCCGGGGCTCCCTGTGGTTTCCTGGTGCCCCCTGCGGATCCTCGGGGCTTCCTATGTGATCTCCCGGGGTCTCCTGCAGGCTTCCTGGAGCACCCGTGGGGCGACGGGGGCCGAGCGTCTGGGAAGGCTTGGGCGATTCCGGGGGCGCCTGGGAGCGCCTGGGAGCGCCTGGGGAGCGTTTGGGGTGCCTGGGGAGCGGCTGGACAGCGGCTGGGCCCCTGGGGGCGCCTGGGGGCGCTCTTCGAGTGGCTGGGAGCGCTCGGGAGCGCCCGAGAGCGTTTGGAAGCGTCTGGGGGGCGCCTGGGAGCGTCTGGGGGCGCCTGGGGCCGTCCGGGGAGCGCCTGGGGCCGCTCTGAAACGCCCAGGCGCTCCTGGAGCGGCTGGGATCGTTTGCGAGCGCTGGGTCTGGGAACTTCTGGGGGCGCCTGGGAGCGGCCGTGGCCGCCTGGGTGGCGCCAAGGAGCGCCTACGCTCTCGAGCCGTCTGGGAGCGCCGGGGGGGGGGGGATTTTTCAAGCGCCTGGTGGCGCGTGGGGCCGCCTGGGGAGGGCCCGTGGTGGCCTGGGGCCGCTCGGGCCTGCCTGGAGCGCCTGGGGGCGGCTGGGGGCGCCCTGGGGGGGCGTCTGGGAGCGCGTGAGGGCGTCCGGGAGCGCCTGGGAGCGTCTGGGGCCGGCTGCGGAGCGCCCGAGGCCGCCTGGGAGCGCCTGGGCGCTCCTATCGCGTCTCGGGGGCGCTGGGGGTCGCCTGGGGGCCTCGCCTGGGCGCGGATCCACTGTTTTTTCCCGCGTGTTTCGTGGGGGGTTCTGGTTTTCTTCCCTGCCGCACCCGCGTCTCCCTCCTCCCTCTCGTCCTCTTCCTTTCTCCCCTCGTGCACTGGACAGGGCGTCGAAGATGTGGTCCGCCTTCGAATCCGCTCTGGAGGACAGGCTCCACGCGTGTCGCATGAATGGCACTTACATGAGACACGCGTCTACATATTACATATCGTCGCACGCATGCACACACTCGCACACACACACAACATACACCATACAACGCTAGTGTACGCCTGGCGTGATCACTGCATCATACACCCAAGACGTATGCACAACGTACTGGGCACCCACGTGAGACACACGTCCATATCCAGCCTGGCACCCACATACTGGGTCGGAAAGCGTGGCAAGCGGTGCAAACATGACCTAGGGTGCGCATACCGTGCCTTGCGCGAGCAAGCGTGGCATTTTGTCGACCAAGAGACGGGGTGCGCAGGGGGTGGTTCCTGAGCTCGGCCGCTATGCGCGTCTCTCGTCCAGGGCATAGCAGGCGTGGCACTTTCTCGACACCAGAGGGGGTTCGCACGGGGTGGTTCCTGAGCTCGGCCGCTATGCGCGCCTCTCGTCCAGTGCATAGCAGGCGTAGTATTTTGTCGACACCAGGGAGGGTGCGAAGGGGGTGGTTGCCGAGTTCGGCCACTATGCGCGCCTCTCGTCCAGGGCATGGCAGGCGTGGCACTTTCTCGACACCCGAGAGGGTGCGCAGGGGGTGGTTCCCGAGTTCGGTCGCTATGCGCGTCTCTCGTCCAGGGCATAGCAAGCTTGGCACTTTCTCGACACCAAGGAGGGTGCGCAGGGGGTGGTTCCTGAGCTCGGCCGCCATGCGCGCCTCTCGTCCAGGGCATCGCAGGCGTGGCATTTTCTCGACACCAGAGGGGGTTCGCAGGAGGATGTCCCGAAGCTCGGCCGCTATGCGCGCCTCTCGTCCAGGGCCCAGCAGGCGTGGCGTTTTGTCGACAACAGAGGGGGTGCGCAGGGGGTGGTTCCTGAACGCGGCCGCTATGCGCGCCTCTCGCTTAGGGCATAGCAGGCGTGACGCTCTCTCGACACCAGAGGAGGTTCGCAGGGCGATGTTCCTGAGCGCGGCCGCTATGCGCGCCTCTCTCCCAGGGCATCGCAGGCGCGGAATTTTGTTTACACCAGGGGGTGTGCGCAGAGGGTGGTTCCTGAGCTCGGCCGCTATGCGCGCATTTCGGCCAGGGCATGGCAGGCGTGGCACTTTCTCGACACCCGAGAGGGTGCGCAGGGGGTGGTTCTTGAGCTCGGCCGCCATGCGCGCCTCTCGCCCAGTACATAGCAGGCGTGGCGCTTTCTCGACACCAGGGAGAGTGCGCAGGGGGTGGTTCCTGAGCTCGGCCGCTATGCGCGCCTCTCGTTCAGGGCATAGCAAGCGTGGCACTTTCTCGGCACCAGGGGGAGTTCGCACGGGGTGGTTCTTAGAGCTCGGCCGCTACGCGCGCGTCTCGTCCAGTGCATCGCAGGCGTGGCATTTTCTCGACACCAAGAAGGGTGCGCAGGGGGTGGTTCCTGAGCTCGGCCGCCATGCGCGCCTCTCGTCCAGGGCATCGCAGGCGTGGCACTTTCTCGACACCAGAGGGGGTTCGCAGGAGGATGTCCCTGAGCTCGGCCGCTATGCGCGCCTCTCGCCCAAGGCTCAGCAGGCGTGGCGTTTTGTCGACAACAGAGGGGGTGCGCAGGGGGTGGTTCCTGAGCGCGGCCGCTATGAGCGCGTCTCGTCCAGGGCATAGCAGGCGTGACACTCTCTCGACACCCGAGAGGGTGCGTTGGGGGTGGGTCTCTCAGAGTGTAGGGCGAGCGGTAATTCCTGGAGGCCCCGGGGGTGCACAAGCGGGGGGGTGGGGACGAGCACAACGACGACGACGAGATACGACGATGAGTTACGACGACGACGAGTACGAAGACGACGGGTACGACGACGAGTACGACGAGTACGACGAAGAGAGGGACGAGCGCGACGAGTGCGACAACGACGATGACGACAACGAATTCGTACTATCAGCGCTGGAGTCGACGACTACGGCGACGACGAGTACGACGACGATTGGGACGACGAGGACGACGACGAATACGACGACGAATACGACGACGAGTACGACGGCGAGTGAGTACGACGACCAATTCGACGAAAACGACGGCGAGGACGACGACGACGACAACGTCTTAGAACGGTCGTTCGGCGTCAGTGGTTTAGTCTGGTTGGTCTCGTTAGTCTGGTTGATTGCTCTGGCTGGCTCGTCTGGCTGGTGGTGGTGGTGGTAGTGGTAGTGTGGTGCGCACAGGACATAACATAAAGTATGTGGAGCTCCTCGCCAGCGTAATTACAAGGGAATGCGGATTCGGGGATGTCGTTCATTATCTGTACGTATGTATGTATGCATGCATGCACAAATGATATAAGGGATGTATGCCTGCATGCACGCATGCATGAC